CCCTCCACTTCTGCTGCCAGTCTGGGCCAGGCTGCCAGGTACCTGACGTGCCGAGGGCTCCTGAGTGCGAGTGTCATTGTTGGTGAGGGTCCAGTAGAAGGAGGCGATGTCCAGGCTGCTGTGGGCACCAGCGAGCAGGCCCAGCCAGGCTTGGCTGGTGGAGGGGTTGGCCGTGGAGGCGTTGGGGAAGTCCAGGCCCTCAGGAATGCTCTCCACCAGCACGGCTCTGGGGGTGGGGGTGGCATCAGCCATAGGGGGCCAGAGAGAACTGTGTGGAAGTCCATGCATGGCGGATGGAAGACTGTATCTGTGTGTGCCTGTACTTATACCCTGTGTGTCTGTGCGTCTGTCTGTCTAGAGCTAGGGTGGCTCTGTGTGTGTGTGTCCACAGGTATGAATGGAAGGTGCCATGTGTATCTGTCTGTTCACAGACCTGGAGAGAAGGTGATGCTGTGGTTGCCATGGGAACAGTGTGGGAAGGGGGTGGGCACGAGGGAAGAGCCTTTGATGGTGTACTTGGGAATCTGAGTCACCTCACTGTTGCCAGCCCTGGGGGTAACAGTGCGGGCCCTGCTTGGTGTATGTCTAAGTGTCGCTGGCCTAGCAGGGCCTCTCACAACCCCCCCACCCCATCGAGGTCCCCCACTTACTCGCAGGGATCATAGCAGGGGGCTGGGCGCTGGTTGGGTCCAAAGAGATGCAAGTCGCCGTATTCCCATAGAAACAGCTGAGTCATCAGGGCACCGAAGCCTACAACCGCCAGGATGAGGACCAGCAGGACCCAGCGAGCTTTCTGTGGGGAGGAGCCCATGGGTCAGCCCAAGGGGTGCGGCCCGGCCGCTGCCTGCCACAGACTGAGCCTGGCGGTGGGCTCCTACCTTCTCTGCAGCCTTCCAAGCCTCGATCTCATTCATGGGCTGCTCGTTGGTGGGCTCCTCAGCGGGCACCTTCAGCTGGGGGGCAATGATAGGGCAGCTCAGTGGACCCCACCCTCCACTGGGTCCAGGCACTCCCCAGGGAACCCCCTCCACCTACCTCCTGGTACATCAATTTAGGTTTCATCTTGCCAGGCAGCCAGGGGCTTCAAAGCCCAGGTGGGAAAGTGGGTGTGTCAGCGCCTCCAAACTGTGGGGAACAAAAGCTGGCACTGTTTTGGGTTTAGATGGGTTCTGCCATCATAGAAGGCAGATCAGCCTTAGAACTCAAGGAATCCACTAAGTCTCCATATTTAAAGTCACAGGGGCCACTGGCAATGTATCAGCCACCTCAAAAGGAGGAAGCTGACTGCTGGTCAGCAGGGATTTCGAAATCCCTCAGGGGTCAGTGCCTCTGCTTTCTTCCCATCCCTCCGAGTGCATGGTCTGCCCTGCACCCCTGTCCCCCTGGACGCCCACCACCTCCGGCATTAGTGTACGCACAGCTCCCCATTAGCACCACAGCTTCTCATTAGCACCTTCGCTTCTCTGAGACTCTCATCCAGATAGTCCCCGAAAGACGGCTAGGAATGGGTTCCACGGAGCACCCTATCTGTGCCAGGGATTCTGAGCCCTGGGACTGAGCGGGCATTTTCCAGGTGGCTCCCCTGGCCTCTCCCTCAGGTACCCACCAGACAGCTCCATCCGGGGATGCAGGACCATCGGGGCCTCCCGCCAGCCCCCTCCCCAACCCATCCCCCCCGTTAGCCTCCTCACCCTACCCCGGAGGGGCCTCGGCTTTACTCCGGAGGGGCCTCGGCTTTACTCCGCAGGCGGCAGCTGCTACCTCTGCGGGGCCCCAAGCTTCTGCCCCAACAGGCTGAGCCGGGCTGGAGGAGGGAGGGGGCGGGGCCCCTGGGGCCCCGCCCACTGCAGCGGGGAGTCTGCGCACTGCGCGCACCCACCCGGACTCAGCGCAGAGAGAAGGGGGACCCTCCCAGCGGGGTCCCGCCAGCCAGGCCCGGGGTGGGGAGACGGCATGGCTGGGGGGGGGGTTTGCCACACTCCACCCCAGAACCCCAGAGTGAGTTAGGGAGGCCACAGGTAAAGAGAAAAAGGGGCGCCACACCTGTCCTTGTCTACAAACCTTGTCAGTTTTTGTGCCGTGGGCATGCATTGCCTAGTGAAAAAATATATAAATTAAATGAATGATTTAAAAACGTGAAAGTAAATGGACGGGTCAAGACTGAAGGCGATTTCGAGACGAAGCGGTTAAGATCAGCCGAAAGACAGCCCACGCTTTGCGGGAGGCGGGGTGGAGAGAGAAGTGGGGTTTTGTCGGAGTGTGTGTGGTTCACAGTATTTGACTTTTTAAAGGTCTGCTATATCGACTGATATTTTCATAGGGGTTTCCCAACTTTTGTTTTTGAAGTCCAGACTCTGGCTGGAGACAAGCAGCGACTCCCACCTCTCCCGTAACTCAGGAGCAGGGTTGAAATCCACAGAGCGAGCACTAAAGCAGCGCTGCCTCCCCTCCCACCTCTCCTGGATTCAAGCCCCGAGACCCCTGCACACACACACCCCCACCCCCTGCCGTAAAGCCAGATAAATGTAGAAAATGTTCATTACAGGGAGAAGGAGCCGCGCTCAGTAGTGGTTACCTTGAGAGGATAGTTTGGGAGGTGGATCAGGATTGCTTTTTATTGTAGCCTGTTTTCTTTTTAAAATTGTGAAATCGAAGCAACTTATAGAAAAAGCCTCGAAAATATCTCCATGCAGTTAAGACCTAATTATAAAGCCAAGACAGATGTTGCCATGTCCCAAGTTCTGTCACTTAAAAAAAAAAAATCACGTGGGTGCATTACTGAGATTTAAAATAAGAAGAGAATTCCAAAAGGGAGCCTGGCTCTTTCTTCCCTCATCTCAGGACCCCGCCCTGATCTGAAATGACAGTTTGGAAGCTCTTCCCAGGTGCCCATCCCTGGTTGGCAAGGGCACAGTGTCTCCTGGAAGACAAATGGGGAGGGGAAGGGATATGTCCAGTGGATCCAGCAACAAAGGGCCACTGACCAAGGTCATCTGGAACTCCAGCGGTCACCGGAGAAGTAGAGGAGTCTCCACGTGGCTTACCGGCTGGGCTGTGGGTGGGTGGGTGGAGACAGGGAGCAGGAAACATTTGCATTTTACTTATTTTTTTGGTGTGGTGTTGGTGAGAAATGTTTTATTTAAGAATGTGTGAAGCAAAGTCAGGGAAGCAAAGATAAGCAAATAAAACTGAGAAGTGGTCGGGTGTGCAGAAGTGAGGGATGGGGGGGTGGGTGCTGGGATGGTCTCTAACCAAACAAAAGCAGGAAGAAAATTGATGGACTTCATTCTAGTTGTTAGTGACCTTTCGGCTTTCAAATTCATGGTGATGACAGCTCTGTAGTAATGGGTTTACTTTTACTTCTGTTCTATTTTTATCAAAGCAATACACAGAAGAAAGTGTTTAAAAAGAAAACTGGGACTGGAGCGGTAGTTCAGGTTGGAATAGACTGGGGAGGCAGCTCAAACTGTGAGTGGCAATCACTACATGTATGCACTGCCTAATGAATCTGGGAGAAGGAACCAGGTATCGGTGCCTTAGTTTATCCATCTGCAAAATGGGCATGGTAACCATCACACCCACTTTTCCTAAGGCTGTTCCTTCATTTTACAAATTGAGACCTCCTGTGGACCAGGGATTGTTTCAAGTTCTGGGGATACTACTGTGAACAAACAGGAGGAGTGAAAAACAGGATACAGAGTAAATTATATGTTGCAAAGTAAAAACTGCTGTACAGCATGAGGGAAGAAGGATGGGGTGGGTGGGAACAGTTTATATTGTGAGGAATATGGGAAGGCCTCCCTGAGAAGGGGACACCTGGACAAGAAAACCTCAGGGAGCAGAGGGAGCAACCCAAGTGGACTCTTAGGGAAGAGCATTCCAAGGAGAGGGAATAGCCAGTGCAAAGGTCCTGAGGCAGAAATGTGCCTGGTGTGTAGAGGGGAGAGCAAGGAGTGTGTTTGTAGTGAAATTGTGGGGGGGGGGCAGATCATTCAGAGACTGACAGGGAGCAGGGTGGGGCCACATGTAGACTAGAAGCAAAAGAGGGATGTAATGTGCTATGGATGTTGTTGCAGTGTGTAGAGAAGTGGCCTCAAGAAAAGATACTGTTCTAAAGGGCATAGCCCCTGAATCCTGCCGATAGTAATTTATCTAGAAAGAGGATTTTGCCTATGTAATTAAATTCAGGAGTTGGAGATAAGATCACCCTGGATTACCTGGGTGGGTCCTACATTGGGTGATAAATTGTTTCTAAAAGACACAGCAGAGAAGGCCACATGATCTGGGAGGGGTGGGGCCGTAAGCCCAGGTACACCAAAGCCACCAAAATCTGGATCAGGTAAGAAGTAAATCCCCAGAGCCTCTGGAGGGAGTGAGATCTGCCCACGCCTTGACCTGCCCACACCTTGATGGCTGCATGCTAATACAGGTGTTCCCAGGTTCTCTGGCTGGGGGGAGGAGTGGGAAAAATGGGGGTCGGGAGACAGACCGGAGCTGGGGAGAGGGTGGTGGGTAGGACGAGGGTGGGATTTCCAGTGGGATCCAATGTGGATTCAAAGTCATGATTTTCCAGGATAGTTCCCAGAGCTGGGGCTGAGCATCTGCAAGGATGGAGACCCCAGGTAGCTGATCTGGAAAGACGAGGGCGAGTAAGTTTGGGGGGAGGACCACGAATAGGCAATGAGCAAATAAATACCTATGCATATACAGGTATACGTACATGTTTTGAACGTATAAAATCTGAGTTGTCTAAAATTGAAGTGAGTTGTTTGAATTGAAGAAATTAACACCTACCTAATGCATGGGATGGACATAGGAGGGGTTCTCCATGTACATGACTGTCAAGATTCCTAAAGGCCAAAAACAGGCATCCTTTGGCCTGAAATATGCTTGCTGCTCACTATGGCCTGCACTATTGAATTTTTAACCAATTAGATTCCCAGGCTCGGACTCCAAGCTGGGTGCCAATTTCCCCACACCCCAGTCTTCAGAAAAGGGCTGTGGCCTCAGCTGGAGGTACGGCAACCCCCCTCCCTTCCATTCCTACATGGGGAGTTGGGGTGCCAGGGGAGCAGGGCAGCCCTCGACTGCCAGGGTGGGGATGCGGGCACTGGGCCATTCATCTCAGTTCCTGTGTTCTCAGGGACTCAGAACCCCGTGATCAGGCAACACCCAGGCTGGTCTCTGTGCTCTGCTGCCTCTGTGCAGTGGGGTACGCTCCTGCCGGCAAGTCCTCTCCCAGCCAGCCCCCCAGCTCATGGCACTGCCTGTCTTGGCGTGTGGCAGCTCTGCCCGCAGGAGAGGAAGTAAAACCCAGGGAGCTTTCAAGAAAGGCCTTGGGCTCGGTCACAGCTCCCTGGCCTTGCCCCCTGCCACCGGGGGTGGGGGTCAGCGGCCTGACTTCTCTTCCACCAGAGAACCCAAATTCAAGTGCCACTGCTGTCACTTTCCCCAGTGGGGGGCTTTAAGTCCTGTTGGCTTCACCTATAAAGCGGGGACCCTCTTATACCTGTCTAGGAAGCAATGGCTGGGGGACCTCTGACTGACGGACTTCAGGGGTTGGGTCTCGACGCCCCGGATTCACATCTCAGCGCTGTGTGAAAATGGGAAGAGGCTTTCTTCTCTGTGCCTTGTTTTCATTCTCTGAACAGTGGGTATACCAACCTCATATTTGTGGGGAAAAGTGAGAGACCATTCATCCAGACGGGCAAAAAACCCCCATACAAGTTGGCTGGTGATGTATGGGCAGAAAACCCCCATACAGGTTCCCCTGGTGCCCTGTCTGATCTCTTCCTCTACCCCCAGGGCTCAGCATGTGAAAACCATTGCATAAATGATGTTTGGAAAATTTGGTGGAAAGGGCTTTCTTTGATGACTCTCTAGAACCAGAGACACATACTTCATATAAAATAATAACCCTTCCAGCCTTCCCTCTGAGTCTCACCCTGTGTTCCAAGCCCAGAACAGACAGGGTAGGTGCAGATAAGGGCCTCTCAGCTGGAAAGTAAAATTCAAGGTTAACTCAAGCCATGGGAGCGAGTAAAGGAGAGTGTGGAGCAGATTTAGCAGCTAAGGCAGACATGAGGCCCCAATCCAGAAGACATTTACAAACCTATGGCCCTTCCTTATGTGCAAAACAGAAATACTCCCGTGTTCAGAGGAGCCAATTTTCACTTGATAGTGCAGACTCTTTCAGATTTAATAATGACTTATCGGTGGTGAGGTCTACAGAAAAGAGAGGAGAGCACCGGTGTGACAAAATGTGCTTTCTGGTTTGTTTTGTTTTTAGTAGAAGAACCTTTATTTCCACCGGCCTCTAGACGTGTCCCAAGAGAGACAAAGCTTGAGCTGACAAATCATTAAGTACACGAAACAACAACAACCAACCAACAGGAATGGTGGATACTTCTCGATTGAAACTTGAGATCTAAGCTGCCCTGCCTCTGCTCAAAACCCCTCTGTGGCTCCCCACTGCCCTCAGGACTAGGTACAAACGTCTCGTCCCTGGGCGCGGCCTGCACAGGTGTCTGTGGACCTCCGTATTATGACAGTTCCCAGAGCTGTCTCCAGCTCCACACACTTCCTGAGTTCCCGCAAGGGAAGTCCCATACCTCCTTAGACCTTCCTCCCAGGTATCCTCAAGCCCCTTATACGCACCCTGTTCTCCACTGTCCTTAGCCTGTCTCACAAACCTGCTTCTTCCCCAGGGACCCATTTCAAGGCTTCCTGGAGGAGCTCATATCTGGGCTGATAGAAATGGGCAAAAGGGAGACCAATAATACTTTGGGTCTCAGCCTGCGTGCCACCTCCTCCAGAAAGCCCTCCCTGATTGCTTCTGAGCCCCGGCCTTGCTGCAGCTCTCTTACAACTTGTCCTTTGAGCGTCTCTCCTCCACCCCCATAGCCTAGACCTGGCCACCCCCAGGTGGGTCCCTACTTCAGTCACTTCCCTTGGTTCCCAGCTTCCACTTAACTGTTCCAAACTCCCCTCTAAGTCTAAATCTCCCCCTCCTCCCCAACGCATGTCCTCAAGACAAAGTCAGCTTCTCACTCTGGCTCCTGCCCTTCCCCTAATAACCTCTCAGCTTAGTCCCATCCCTTATGCCTCAGTCATATTCAATGTCTTTTGGTTTCTTGCACTGAAACTCCACTTTTAGCACCTGACCTTGCTACAGCTACTACTTCTTGGCTGCTCAGTACTATTAGCTTAGATACCACCTCCTCCAGGAAGCCTCCCAGGAGCCCTGGGCTTTTCCATTGCAGCCTTGACCCCTCTGTCTGTACTTCTCCATCCTGGCTTGGAGATGGGTTTGTCTCTCCACTGGCTTAGGAGGCCCAGGAGGGCAGGGCCCGTCTCAGTTACTACCATGTCCCCAGGACCACTGGCACAGGGACAGCACATGGCAGGTGCCCGGTGGCCAGCCAGTTCATTCATCTGTCCTCTCCACTGTGTATTCAGCAATCATTCACTGATAAGACATGTCCAAAAGTTGGGGATACAGCACCCAACAGAAAAACAAAACAACACCAAAGATGTCATGTGTGTGTGTGTGTTAATAAGCAAATATCTAATAGAATGTGCTTGGAGAAAAAAATAAAATAAAATGTGGAGGGAGTTGGTGATGTCACAGCTGAAAAGTATTCATGGCTCCATTCAGAAAAACACAGGACTGGGACAAAGAAGTGTGATCGTGGGGCTCTCCCTGGTGGCGCAAAGGGTTAAAGCACAGCACTATGAAACTGTCCCCAGAGTTCCATCCCCGGCCAGGGAGCTGGCCCACATGGCACAGCAGACTTCTCCTGACCTGCCTGCCGCTCCCCTCAGCAGTGTACGTCAGTTGACCTATTCTGCTCCCCACTCTGTCTCTGGTGAATCCTCTCACCGCCCCTGCGCCTCTGGCCTGTACCCCAGTTCTGTATGCATAAATAAATAAATCTCTCAAAAAAAAAAAAAAAAGGGGTGAGCATCCCTGTTTTTCAGGAAATCATTACCCAGCTTTCATGGTATGGGTCTGTCAGCAGGGACTCAGAACCCAGAGCTCAGCTCTCTTCAGGCCACTACCTGTGGAGCCAAAGGCCTAGTGTCTTTTCCTTGCCACCCCGAGGGAGGCCCGAGCCTGTGCATAGGCAGGATGTGCCTAGGGTTCCTTTTGCTTCTTGCACGAGTCAGGCCCAACGCATCTTATTTTCTAGCCACACTTAATAGATGAGGAAACTAAAGGGCCAGAGAGGGTAAGACCTTGGTAGAGGGCGCCACCAGACAATGGAGCAGCGGGGATCTGAACTCCCGCTGCCTCCAGGTCCCAGGTCAGACAGCTGCCTCCTCCTGCTGCTGCTGTCCTCCCTCCCGCCACGACAGCCTCTGAGTCCAGGGGCTGCGGCCTTCTCAGAAGTTCTACCAATAGTTCCTACCCCTTTCCCTCCCGTTTTCTGAAAGGGACATTTGGAGTTTTCTCCAGATACAAAGGATATGTGAGTGCAGATTAAAAAGAGGCCTCTTCTTGCTTGCTCTTGCCAGTCCACCTTGCGGAAAAATCCTGGAGTTGTCACAGGGCCATGTCATGTCACATCAGATGAGTTCAAACACTTCCTTTCCTCCACATCTTCCCGGGGTTCCTACCTCGCTTAGGCTAAAGCCAAATCTTCCCCACAGCCCATGTGGGCTGCCCTCATGACTCCTCTGACCTGACCGTTCACCCTCTTCCTTCCTCATTAGCTTCCTTGCCATTCCTTAAAGTAGTCCACGTACACTCCTACCTCAGGGCCTTTGCACATGTTGTTCTGTCTGCCTAGAATGCTTTTCTCCAACACAGCCATATCCCTCTCCCTAAGGCTCCCCTAAGTCTAATTTGGCTTAAGTATACCCTTCTCAATAAACCTTTCCTGACCACCTTATTTAACACTACAACCTTTAGCATGCATTCCCGTCCACCTTTGAAGACGTCGTATGATCGACTTACCTCTTGGTTTATTCTGTTACCCCGACAGAATGTAAAGGGCAGGATGTGGGCAGGTCTCCTTTTTGCTTATTGCACCAGTCAGGGCTCATGAGGCCTGGATCTTTCCATGAGGCCAGGGATCTTTGTTTTGTTCAATGATGTGTTCCCAACACCTAGCACAGCGTTGGGCATGTAGAATATGCTTAGTAAATGTTCGTTGTGTGAATAAGTTCCTTTTACATTCCTATACGGCAGATGCTGCAACTGAGGTACAGGGTTGTTAATTCACCTGCCCAAAGTCACGCAGCTATTTAAATATGACATGCCACGTTGCTAACCACCATCTTGCACTGTCTCCCTAAGACAAGCTAGTCAGACACCTTTTCACTTGGGGATTCTGAGGGTTGACTGGAGTGCGGGTGGGACCTACTTCATCTCTCTGTATCCCCATTCTAGAAGCCAAATGAAGTCTGAGTCTAAATCACTTTTAGTAACTTAGGGCATCCCTAAGATGCCCTACTTAACTGGGGAGGGGGGGGTGGATTGCTACAGGATTTGGCAACATTGTCTAAATGCTTCAAATACTTCATCTCTCTGTACCCTAAATGATCTCATCGCAGGGAATGGGGCTTCACCTAATCTAACAAGGGAAAGGGATATGGATTAAGCATTTCCATGTGCAAGGCTTGTGATGTTGATGACCACCCTTTGCATGCTGTGGTATGGTGGAGGTGAGAACAAGAAGACAGTGACGAAGGAAGGTTGCTATGAGAGAAGGTTGAGTGTGAGGCATGTTGAGGGCTGTTGAGGGGGTGGGAATAAGGAAGTGATTGGATGAGGGTGAGAGTGACATGGTTAATAATAACACCCTCCCAACCACCCTGTCCAGCCAGGCACAGCACAAGAAAACCTGGCAGAATCCTCACTATCACATCAGGTGTCCTTGTGTGCATTTTATGGACTGGGATGCTGAGGTTGTAAAGGTGCGATCAGGTAACCCAGGGAACCCCAGGGAACGCGCTCTCGGACCCCACACAGTGGCCAGTGAGAGGTGATACAGTTTAATGATGGTGGGGGCAGTGGGGAGAAGGGCGTCCCCTTGGGGAACACTACAATGTGACAAGTGTGGTGACTGTCAGGGCAGCAAAGGTGTTGGGGAGGGAGGACGACACGGGAAGAAGCCTGGGCGTCATTTAAGAAGATAGTGACAGAAGGTGTGAAGGCGGTAGAGGTGTGATGATGTGGGAGGATTTCCTAAAGGAGAAATGGCAACAAGAGGTGGGCGCGGGCGACCCAAGAAGACACTGGCTACTTAAAGGGGGGTGACGGCGACACAAGGTGGCAATGGGAGCGTTAAGAGAAGGAAAGCGAGTGAAGGGGGTTGATGACGACACACGAAGGAAGGCGAGTTAAATGTGATGCGACAGAAGCGCACTGGCACCATAAAGGGACAGAGGACGACATAGGGGAGATATGCATTGCAGTCGGAAGGGCAACAGAAGCACGGCAGTGGGGGCGCCGCACCTCTAGATCGCACCGTACCTGCATTTGATGTCTCCTACTCCGGGACCCAGCCCCGTACGCACCTTCTGCGCTGGAGCTCCCGCGCAGGCGCACTCGGGCGGAACTGCGGGCGGCGCGGCCGGCACGCGCCTTCCTCATAGGCCGCGCCCCTAGCTAGCCGGGGGAGGAGGGAAGAGCCTGGGAGCCGCGGGGGGAGGGGATCACGTGACGGTGGCGGGCTCCCTCTCGCTGGTGGCGGACCCGCGGACTAGAGCGGCCGCGACGGTCAGTCCGGCTTCCGGTGGCGGGGCGGTACTTCCGGGGCGTGCCTCCTGCAAGGGAGGAGGGTCTGACAGTTGGCGCCGCGGGCAGGGAGGGCGGGCTGCGCGAGTGGGCGCGGGCCGAAGGGCCAGGTGAGGCGCGGGCCGGGGGTGGTGGGACGGGACCGCGTGCCGTGGGGTTGGAGGGCGTCCGGGGTTCCGGAGTCACAGTCCCGGCACTTCTGTGCGCCCGGGACGAGCGACTTCTTTCTCTGATCCTTAGTTTCTTCCCTGTAGAATGGAGCATCAGGGTCCCATTCTAGCATCCTCCTCAGGGGTCGGAGTGAGAAGGCGGCGCGTGCCTGCCCGAGACCCTAGCTCGGTCCTTCGCAGCGGTGCTTCCTTGCTCTGCTCTTGTTAGGAGTGATGGTGTTTGCTCTGGGCGTGGAAGATCTGGGTGTCAGAGAGTGAAAGATTGTTGGACTTGGAGGCTGAATGTTTCAGATTCCCGCTGAGGCAGTGGGCTTGTGCCTTTACCTCTCTGAGCTTCATTTTCCTCATCTTTACGGTGAAGGCTAGTAGTCCCAGTATCATCGAATCCATGTGAGAATGCTGATGAAACCCTTAGCACCGGCGCCCGGCAATAGTATCCAGTAGGAGCTCAAGAGTTGGGTATAATAGTGACTCTGAGAGTCACTGGCATCGCTGGGCATCCCAACGATGGGCATCCTAAGGACAGCAATAGGAAAACCTTGGAATCTGGAGTTGGCAAAGCAGCATCCTGCCCCTTTTTTGGCCAATGTTGCCAAATCCTAGAGTGTTAGATTTTTCTTTTGCTTTTAAGCCACTGGAGCATTTTCCTCCAATCAGTGGTTTTACGGGGGAGAGTTTATATTATTAATTTGAAGAACTATCATTTGTTGGCCATGACAAGGAGCATAATAAGCTGAAATGTAATGGTAGCAGAACAGTTTATTAAATGTTGTAGACCGAAACGAAGGAACACCAGGAGGAAACAGCTTTAAGCCCAGTTCCTCCTTGCCGGATTCCATGGGCCCTACCAGGTTGTCTTACACTCTGGTTCCTGCTCACACTTTGCATGTGAATGACATCAGGTCAGTGACTGTCCTCCCCTTTCCCTAGTTCACTGCAATTTCTTTTATTTGATGCACGTGGACTTAGCACTTAACACTTTCCAAGCATTGCTACTAGGGCTTGGGATCAATGAAATCTTTTTATTCCTCTAACCACTCTTTCTCTTTTTATAATTGAGGGACATGAAGGTTAAGCCACTCGCTCCAGACTCAGGGTTAGGATTTTGCACAGTTGGGATTTGGACCGAAGCCTTTAAGAGTTTGGCTCTATCAGGAGTCTGGTGCATGGTTATTACTTTAGTTCTGAGAGCTGTCGTTTTTCTCTTATTAATGCTATACTTCTTACCACTCAGAAAGTCCACGCCGGAGATGGACTTTTAATGGTGGAGAGACTTCTGCAGCCACAGGGGGAGGATATCAGCACTTAAAGACTTCTTAAAGACTCCTGGTAAGCATCGACTGGCATAGCACTCGGCTCGTAGTAATCCTACAACTGGTGTCAATCACAGCCATTGGGCTGACTCGAGTTCAAGTTCTGGCCCTCCAGTTGCTGGCTATGTGACCTTGGACTTGCCACTCTGATCTGTAACATGGGGATCATTTATATTCCCCACTGCTCCTCTCCTTGTAAGGACGGAGGACGGGAGACGACTGAGATACACATACACACACACTCAGTGCCTGGCTTATAAACAGGAGCTTCTGCACAGGCACTTGGAATCAGGAAGAACTTGTTCTTAAATCCCAGTAAAATGACTTGCTAGATGTGGCATTTGGCAGATGATTGTACCTTGACAGGTCAGTTATTTTGTTGATTAAAATGGGGCTAATAATAGTCCTCACTGTGGAGGAGGTTGTGAGGTGTGAGCATGATATGATGCCTGGCTCTGGTCCTGCTGCATAGCTAGTGCCTGGTATGGGAGATCCTGAAGTTCTGTCTTTCCAGGGCTGCTCTGTGAGCGTTGCCGGTTGTGTTTTTATCTAGGGATAAAATCAGAAGGGAACGTGGGTCTTGGGGAGGCAAAGGCAGGTAAGAGTGATATTTGTGCACTTGTTCATCAGCAAAAGATGCAGCGGGAGCCAGAAAAGGCAGGATGAACCCTAACCCGGAGCGTCTCGTGGGCGGGGACCTGGCGAGCGCCTCCCAAAGCGGGCAGCACCACGCAGAGTGGCGCAGAGCTAAGAAGGGGCCAGGAGGGGCTCAGCACCCAGCACAGTGGCATCTGCGTGGAGGCAGGGCTGCTGGAGGGCAGGCCGGCAGGGCCACGACAGCTGAGACTTGTTGAGGACTCAGCGTGTGCCGGCCACTGGCTCACGGGCTTTGCTCCTAGAGCCCCTCCGGGCTGGGGCCGTGCTCTGAGGGAAGCCCTGAACTAGCCCCATTACAGATGGGCACACGAGGCCCGGCTGGTGAAGTGACCTGCCAGAGCCACGCGGCGAGGACGTGAGTTGTAGAATCAGATCGGAACCCCGCAGTCAGCCTCCGAAGGCTTTAGTCTGCACTATTGCTGTCACACCATCGAGCTGGGGGCAGATTGTGTGTGATGCGGGAAAGAGAGGCTCCGACAGCAGGCCTTCTGCACCCTGCGGCTGCGGCGGAGGGGCCTGGGGAGCCGCATCAGAGCAGAGGGCAGGGTGGGAGGAGAGCAGAGCGAGGGCAGAGGGAGAGGGGACCGGGACCCGGCTGGCTCCCACAGAAGGGCGCAGGGGGTTCAGGCCGGTAGTGTGGGACAGCTGGCCTGGCATCGGCACTGAGTCATCGGGAGAGAAAGTCACTTCCTCTGGTTCCCTCTCGAGCCTGCTGCTCCTGGCCAGGAGAAAGTCCCCACGGGGGCCGACATGTTGACACCTTTCTAACATCGCTCACCTTATCCAAGTGAAGGTGGCGTTTCCGTTTCCTCTCTGAGGCCCTGTGACGTGGTGCCCGTCTCTCTCTCGGCCTTCAGCTCCTCTCAGCCTCCTTGCCCACACCACTGCAGCCCCGCCGGCCCCTCGCCGCCCCTCAGACACGCAGGGGGAGCTGCTCACTTGGGCGCCGAGCCTCCTGCCGGGCTGCCTCTATGACGGCGTGGCTCGCTCCTCCGCCTCCTTCGGGCCCCCAGGTGTCACTCCAGAGGGATCGTCCTGACCCCCCTTCTTAGAATTGCTGCCCCACCGCCCAGGCCATGCGTCCTCTGACCCCGAAGGCCTTCTGTCTTATCATCTTGCTGTTTCGCTTGTTTACCGTCTCCCCCGCCCCCACCGAGATGGCAAGCTCTGTTCTGTTGCTCATCTCGGTACCGAGTTCCCAAGACAGTGCCCCACCCGTAGGTCATTCTCCGTAAGTCAGTTTCCAGTGGATGAATAAATGGGTATTTGCGGTTGAAGTCTCGCGCTGGGAGTGTTTTGTTCTGTGTTGCCCCTCTCCTGCTCCAGCCAGGCCTTCTGAGGTGTGCGGGAGTGGGGCTGTCGACATTTGCCGTCCGGGCATTGCCCCAGGCAGAAGCACTAGCTGTGGTGCAGCCCTGTCACTTGCGGACTGCCTGCCAGCTGCTCCGGCTATTCCTGGGCGATGAGCGCCCAGCCCGGCAGCTCCGCTGGCAGGCAGGCAGCAGCGAGCGCGGGACACACTCACCGCGCGGCACCTCAGGGGCCCTCTCCCCTCGTTCTGTCTTCCAGGCTCCAGGGAGCAGCGTCAGGGGAAGGGGGACAATGGTCTCGGTGACGATGGGTGAGTCTGTGGCCCTCTCTCTGGGGTTCCCTGCCCCTGCTGCCCCTCTGGCGGTGTGGCCTTGGGGGGGCGGCGGGCTGGGGGAGGGAGGGCCGGCTCACTGACGGGGACAGCTGTGCTCCCGGGCGCGGGGCAGGCCTGCTGCCTCTTCTGTCTTGGCCTCCTGACAGCGCAGTCTCGCTGCAGAGAACGGGGAGGTGACGTCCAGCAGCCTCCCAGCGGGCCTCTCAGAGCCGTGGTTTTCTCGCCTGTAAAGTGGGGATATGAGCAGGCGCTACACCCTGGAATGTGAGCGTTGAGGTGCTAGCGCCTGTAAGCTCCTGGGCATAGATCCGAACAGTGGTGCCCGCTTGCCCTCCCGTGAGCCGCACGTTTCCCGGGGAGCTCTGAAACTCAGTATTTTGGGCTTGCCAAGCCCAGAGATAGCTGGGCTTTAGATTATGCTCTGAGATTTATTGTATATACAGAAAAGCTCATTAAAAGTATTTGTGTGCAGACGAGCAGTTAAACCGAGCTCCGGAATGGAATGTCTTTGCTTTCCATGTCGCTGAAGTGCAGAAACAGGGAAGGCTGATCCGTGCTACTGGGCGGCGCAGGCTTTTCTTGGGGACAGGAACCAGGGGCCACGAAGGGACTAGGAGGGGCTTTGGCATCCTGGAAATATTTCGTCTTGATCTGGGCACTAGTCGCATAGGTGTGTTTACAAAAATGTAGCTCCTTGTGTGTATCCGCTCTGTTCCATAAGAGGTTTTTAAGCAGACTCCCTCTCACCGGCCAGGTAAGAAAGAATATGGCCAGCCCTGCTTGCCCCGAAGGGCCCAGCCCAACTCAAGCCCCGTCCGCCTCCAGAGGAAGCGAACCCCCATCTTGGTCTCGGCTTTGAGATTTCTATTTATTTATTTATTTTGTGTAGAAGAGCTGGGGTGTAGGCTGGGGGCGCAGGGGGTGAGACAGTGGGGAGCAGAACAGGTGGATCCAGTGAAGTCCACTGCTGCGGGGAGCAGCGGGGGGACAGGAGAGGTCTGCGCCATGTGGGCCACTCCCTGGCCGGGGTTAACTCAGGCCTTAGGGATGGCAGCGCTGAGACTGTACCCCAGGCCGCCCACCGGCCTTGGCGTTGGCACCGTGTGCAGGGGCAGTGGTGGCACCATCGCTGTCATCGCTGCAGGGCGTCGAGGGTGGCTCCTGGCCAGGCCCTTGGAGGCCTGTCACGTGGATCTCTCACGGGGCTGGGCAGTGACCGGAGGAGCTGGGCGCTGTGATCACTGGGATGTTGGCTCCCGAGAGGAGGGGCGTTGTTGTGCCGATGATACCCCCGTGCCTGGAGCAGGACCCGGCCTGGGCCCATGGCGTCGTAACTGCTTGTTGAACCTTATCCCAAACTTACAGATGAGGAAACTGAGCCTCGGACGTTAACTTGTCCCCCATCCTCAGCCGGGAATGTGGAGTCAGGAGTTTCTCTCCAAGCCAGGGCGGCTGCTGGGGCAAGGCGGGCCTTACTGACGCTCAGGGCCAGCTCCGTGACCCCGATTCCTGTCACCGCTCAGCCTGGGTCCGCTGACATGGACCCGGGCAGAGAACCCAGAATCCTGGCTCCCCAGAATCAGTCATCGGCCAGGCATGAGGAAGGGCGGCTGGTCGTCACGCTCCGGGCCGGGACAGTCGGGGGAAGAGCAGCTCGGCCTCTCCCGCTTCCCCGTCTGCTCCAGGGGGTTCTGGGGGCCATGGGCATAAAGCTGTGTGTACCGCACAGGGCTGTGGGGAGGGCTTAGCTCATGGTCCCCACAGAACACTCAGCGCGGGGGCAGCTGTGTGGGGTGCATTTCATATTGTGGTTTTGCTGCTGCTGTTCACTGAAGAAAGTAAAGGGACTAATGGCTCTGTCCACACGCAGCCACTTCCGAGTGGATCCAGTTCTTTAAGGAAGCCGGCATTCCTCCGGGCCCTGCTGTCAATTACGCCGTGATGTTCGTGGACAACAGGTGAGGCGGCTGAGGGACAGGGTGGGGAGCGGCGGGGGGCCAGGCTGGTGGCCGCTCACCTGGCCCACTGTGGCCTCGCCCGCCCTCCCTGTAGGATCCAGAAGAGCATGCTGTTGGACCTCAACAAGGAAATCATGAACGAGCTGGGCGTGACTGTGGTCGGGGACATCATCGCCATCCTCAAGCATGCCAAGGTGGTGCACCGCCAGGTGGGTACTGTGCCCTCTGTCGCTGCCAGGGGCCGGCAGGGGGGTGAACAGTGGCAGAGCCAGTAGGAAACTGGGAAGCAGAGGCAGGCCGGTCTGGGTGCTGAGGCTGAGGCCGCCGTGTGCTGTGTCGGCCTTCTCTGAGCCGTTCTCCAGGTGGAGACAGCCCCTGTTTGGCAGGGTGGCTGTGTGTTGAGGTGTCCAAAGCCCGAGTGCAGTGTCACCAGTCGGGTCCCCAGGCGGGCTCTCGTGCCCACGTCCTGGTGACAGCTGCACAAGGCCTTCTGTCCCAGGACTGGGGCGCCCCGTGGCCACAGTGGTGCCTTGTTCTTGCTCCTTTCGCTTACAGGGACCTTTACACAGGTGTTTCACCTCCCCGAGTCTCGCTGCACCGGGCTTTTTACATCCCAGCACTGTGGGCGGCTGTGGCCTGCCGCCTGGCAGTGTGCGTGGCACCCAGTGGGCGCAGCTAACATCTGGCGGGCGCCTGTCACCAAGGCCGGGCCCTGTCTCCGTCCTCTGCGCTTCCAGGGTGAGGCCGCTTGTCGGCAACACCGGAGTGTGTTCCTCCTGGTCCCGGTGCCGGTGCCGAGAGGGCGCCCTCAGACTGCTCCCAGACGCGCCGCGTTACCAGGCGGCGCTGCCGGGCCCTCCTGGTCCTTTCCAGGGGCTGCCCCGTCCCGGGGCCAGAAGGCCGCTGCGCAAAGCACTTTCTTTGAACTGGGAAGTTTTTAGAACGATTGTGGGGGGATAGAAGAGCTCAGCCAATAGTGCAGGCTCCCCCTCTCTTGTCCTGCGTCCCCTTACAGCAACCTCTTCAAAATTAAGAAATGAACTTCAGCACGCTGTGGCAAAGTAAGCTGCTGGATTGGATCACTTTTTCCCGTCATGCCTTTTCTGACCTGGGATCGTGCTGCGTTTTTTATCATGTCTCCTTCACCTCTTTGGACTTGAGACACTTTCATTGTCCTGCGTTTCTGATGGCCTAGACTGTTCCTCGGTTTGGGTTTGCTGCTTTCTCGTGTTCAGAAGGGGGAGGTTCTTTTCCCTGGCAGCCCCGGCTCCAGTCTCCCCAGTATGACTTAGATGTCGGGGACCCCGCCCCTCCGCCTGCGCCGTGGTAACCCAGGGCGCCTGTGTGTTACAGGACGTGTGCAGAGCTGCCACTGAGTCCGCGCCCTGCAGCCCCAGCCCCCTCCCGGGCGAACTTCGTCGAGGCCCCTCCAGCGGTGAGTGCTCACCCTCCTCCTTCACTCTGGCACCCCAGCAGTAAAGGGGGACGCGGCTGCAGTTTACAGAGGTGGAAGCAGCGGCCTCTGAGGCCACGTCTAGGGAAAACCAGCTGCACACTCAGTTCTCGCTTGTGATTCTAGTCTCACAAGTCCCTGCCAGCCCTGAGTCCCGCTGCACCCCTGCTCCCTGGGGAGACACGGGACCAGCTTCCTTCAGACCTCTGCTCTCAACATTTCCTTTCTATTTATTTATTTATTATTATATTAAAAAAAAATATTTACGCATACAGCACTGGGGTACAGGCCAGAGGTGCAGGGGGGTGAGAGGCTTCACCAGAGACAGAGTGGGGAGCAGAACAGGCAGATCGACGAAACACACTGCTGAGGGGAGCAGCAGGCGGGGCAGGTGCGTCATGTGGTCAGCTCCCTGGCCGCGGATCAAACTTGTGCTGCAGTGGCTGCGGAGAGCTTCACAGTGCCGCGCATTAACCTGTTGCGCCATCAGCAAGGGCCCTGCTCACAATATTCTCATCAGCGGATTGATGCAGGGCCTTATTTTATGTTTCTGTTTAGAGACACTCTGTTTGATACAGACCAGCAACAATGAGACCCTGCCACAGGAAGTGACCCAACACCCGTGTTCCTCTCAGTGGGTGGCCCTCTGGTCTGTGGCTCCCCACTGTATACCCTGGGACTCCCCCTCCCCCAAGGAGACGGGCTGCTCAGGACTGTCCCTGCCCCCTTGCCCCAGCCCAGCTGCAACCAGACCCCTGTGCTTCTGGCAGGCGGGGGACAGGAGCCACCCATAGAAATGGTTTACACTAGAGCCTGTCTACTTGGGAGGTGGGGTGACTGGATTTGTCTTTTGAGAAGCTGTTTATTGGGGACCTGTGAAGTACCAAAAACCCTTGTGGGCCTGGGATGCCACAGTGAATAGACAGTATCTCTCCCTGAAGCTTTTTTTGCTGTTTGCGTGTCCGCAATGTCAGGCTATGAGACTGTGATGAAAAAGAAGTGAGTGGAGGGGAGGGTGGCAGAGGTTGATGGGGTGGCCGAGGAAGTTTTCTGTGGGGAGCTACACCTGGGAGCCCTTTAGCACTTGGGGACCTGCGCGCAGGTAGCGTGGCAGGTGCCCTGAGGAGAGAGAGGCTTGCTGGGCGAGGAAGGTGCCAGAGACGAGTTTGGCTGAGAGGTAGCCGGCGGGGCTGGCGAGCTTGGCACAGGGCTGGTAATGTCTGGGAGAGGTGAGAGAGGGCCCGGCTAGCCCTGGACCTCACAGACGGCCCCCAGGGCAGGACCCGCCCCCCGACCCCACGCGTCCCCGTGTGAGGACCGTGCAGCCCAGGGCGACTGGCTCTCCCTTGCCCGCTGCATCCTGAGGCTCGCCTTCCATCCTGGCCCCACCTGATTGGACTCTCATCTTCCTCCTGGCAGCGGCCTCCCGAATGATCGCCAACAGCCTGAACCGCGACTCCCCACCCGGGACGCCCCCCAGGCGGCCAGATACCAGCACCTCCAAGATCTCGGTCACTGTGTCCAACAAGATGGCGGCGAAGAGCGCCAAGGCTGCTGGTGAGGGACCCGGGCGGGCGGCCGGAGGTGGAGGCATGGAGGTCGGCAGAGTATTGGGGATCATGGTCCTGTGGCCCCAAGACGTCCACAGTGCCAGGTCTCTTTCCACATCTGCGAGCAGGGCCTGTGGCCTCGGAGAATAGCAGGAAGCGCTTGAGCTGTTGCGTTTCAGGTCCAGGGCCCCTGGGTCCCGGTCTGCGTTGGTTCGGTCTCTGTTTTACTATGAGCACTGGACCGGAGAGCTACCCTCTTAGCGCAGTTTTTTTTTTTTTTTTTTAGTTTAAAAAAAATTATTTATTTATTTACGCATACAGAGCTGGGGTACAGGCCAGAGGTGCAGGGGCGGTGAGAGGATTCACCAGACACAAGGTTGGGAGCAGAACAGGCAGATCGATGAAGGACACTGCTGAGGGAGCAGCGGGCGGGTCAGGAGAGGTCTGCCAGCCTTGTGGTCACCTCCTGGACAGGCGGGATCGTGCTCAGTGGCTTTAGCTTCTCAGGCTGTGCTTTAACCCGCTGCGCTGCCAGGGAGGGCCCACTTAGCGCAGTTGTAAGTGCTTGCTGCAGTCTTTAACAGATGTTCACTGAGCCCTGCATTGGTGCCAGGCCCTGGCCTTGATGCCTGGGGTCAGAAGTGAAGACGCTGTCCTGCCCTCCCAGCAGGCGGGAGCCTTTCAGCCATAGTGTGGCCTGCTCAGACCCTTGTCGTGACTCGAGGACTTCCCATTGTGGTCTTCCCAGACTTACTGCTCAGCTCCCCACCGGCCTCCTTCCCAGCACGGGGCACCCATCCTCTGTGCCCTGCTTCTGTGGGTACCCTTCCGCGGCCGGACTCAGGCCTTGGGCTTCTAGCCCTTCTGTCCACTGCACTCACCCGCCGTGGTTGGCATCATCCTCATAATGGCAAACCTGGACACGGAGCCCCGGAAGGAACACACCGCGTGTCACCGGCCGCGGCTCCGTTTCTGTGGTGTGTCTGTCCCCTTTTAACTTGTCGCCCGCGAACAAGAAAGTCAAACTTAGGTTCTACAAGTATTTTAAAAGGGAGCGAGGTTGGGAGTTGGCTGCTATCTTACCCCTTGACCCAGTAGAGATTTTTTTTTTGAAAACTTTGGTAGACTTTGTCACAATGCACAAAAATTGTGAGTATACAGCTTGATCAGTTTTTAAGAAGTGAGCATGCCCGTGAAACCACAGCTTCGCTGGAGCTCTGGAGCCCCCGTGGTCCGTCAGGTCCGGCAGGGGTGGGACGCCCGCCGGCCTGTGGCAGGGCGTTGGTGGGGCCACCCGCTGCCTGGGGTTTCTCGCATCTCTGCCCCATCACGCCCGGGCTTCTCAGTGGTTTAGCGCCAGTGCGGACAGGGTGATTGGAAGATGCGCTCCAGAGAGCATGTGGAGATGGGGCACAGGTGTGCACACTGCTGGACGCCCCCGGAGAGCAGGCCACCCCAGAAAGTGCTCACCCTCGCCTCCTCCCCAGCAGCCCTCGCCCGCCGGGAGGAGGAGGCCCTGGGTGTTCCCGCCAAGCGGCGCCGGGTCACTGCCGAGATGGAAGGGAAATACATCATCAACATGCCCAAGGGCACCACCCCCCGGACCCGCAAGATCCTGGAGCAGCAGCAGGCGGCCAAAGGTACCGGCGCACAGGCACCCCAGCACAGACGCTGCTCCCTGCGTGCTGCCTCGGGCAGGCGTGGCATGCGCCCCGGTGCTGGGTGGGCCCAGCGGCCTTGCCACAGGGGCGGCCATGATGGCCACAGAGAAGGGGCTCGACCTACGCTCAGCATCGCGGGGCGCCCCAGTGCCTCGGTTCATGCCTTCCCTGAGGGCCAGGGAGAGGGAACCCAGATGAGCCGCGGGCGGCTCGTGAGGCTGGGCGGGGGGCGGGGGTCTTCCCGGCCGGAGGAGCGTGCAGATGCTTCTGTACGTTTTTGTGGGGAAAGGTTCAGAAAAGGCAGAAAGTGTGCGGCAAAAGCACGCTGTCCCCCCCTCCCACATCCCCGCCTGTTAGCCTCCCAGCCAGCCCCGGGGGTTAGCACGTGTTACGCGGACGAACACGTCTGGGCATTTCTTTTCTTGGTGGGCGTGAAGAGCATCATTCCATCGGCTTTCTTCACGTTGGTGTATGTGCTCTGCCTTCCTCTTTTTAATCGCTGTTAAGTGTTCCCCTGGTGTTTTTACATCATCGTTCTCCTACTGCTGGCTAAGTGGGTCCCCCGCAAGCTTCAAACTTTTATCAGCCACTGTGAACCCACACACAGTGCACCACCGTGCCGCAGGCATTCGGAGGGGATGTGTGTCCTGGCTGAGGGGGAGACGGCATGGAGGCCTCTGGAAGGCCTTCATTGAAACCGCTTTTCGTGACCTGTTTCATTTCGGAGTCTGGGCCCCCTCCCTCCCGTGGCCGTCACCCCACTCAGCAGAGCTTGGATTGATCATGGGGGCCCAGTTCCTTCCAGGGCAATGGGTGATGCTTTCTGGCCTAACCGACACCTGTCTGAGCGGAGCCGGGCGTGAGAGTGCAGCTTCGGGGCCTCTGGCTGCGCCAGCGCCCCTGGCTCCATAAACGCAGGGGGGCCCGGGCACAGCTTCCTGGCCTGGCGGAGGACCCGGCCGGCGTGGCTGTGGGAGGCTCTGGCCGGGAGGAGAGGAGAGCAAACCTGCCAGGCCGCACCCCGGCTCTGCCCCGAAGCTGTTCTTTAGGATGTGGAGTCATTACTGTTCACCAGATCCTCTCAGAAGCCCGTGACCCCAAAGAGTAGGGATCAAGAGCGCTCCACACAGTTGATGCACTTGTGCGGTGGCTCAAGGGACGGAAGTGTTGACTTTAGCTGCGCCTTCGCGCCTCAGACCCTGGCCCAGAGCACATGGGTCCAGGTCCCCACCACGCCTGCCGCGCCCAGCCCGCAGCTGCCTGAACCAGAGCTGACTGGCGCTGGCCTGGGCGCGGCATCCCCCGGGGCCCACTCAGGGCCCATGGGGCCTCCGCGGGTGCCGACTGACACCTCCCTCCGGTCCCAGGTCTCCACAGGACGTCCGTGTTTGACCGCCTCGGCGCCGAGACCAAGGCAGACACTACGACAGGGAATAAAGTGAGTTGGAGTCGCGGGGGCTGCTCCCGGTTCTCGAGCGCCTGGCACCCCTCACGCCCCCCCCCCCCCCATCTGTCCAGCCTGAGTTCCCTTCTTTGCCCTGGCGGCTTCCCTGCCTGGTGGGCTCCTGGGTGCCACCCTTAGACCTCCCCCATCACATGTCCCTTGAAGGGGCCCTGTCCAGACCTGGTCCCAGGGGAGCCCCGCTGACCGCATTTCAGGCAACCACCAGGCTGATGTCACCAGCTGCCTCCACCTGCCCTCTCTCCTCCCTGGCTGGGGATGGCGGCGGCTTTTTACCTGGTCTCCTCAGAGCTACCGTGACCCCCGAGCACTCTCCCACAGGGCAGGCTGGCCTGCCCTGCACACCTCCAGGGCTTCCCCATCCTGCTCTGGGTGCAGCAGTCCCCCAGCGGTGATTTGGGCCCTGCACCGTGTGGCTGCACAGCCGCAGCAAGAGACCTCAGCCCCTGTGCCTCGGTTTCCTCATCTGTATGGCACCCGAGGATGGTGACCATCTGTATGGTGGTCACGAGGATGAAGAGAGCGGTACCTCCTGGTGCGGCATTCTGGGTGTGGAAGGCGCTTTTGACACGGCTCCTTGGCTGACTGTGGTGCGGCCCTCATGGCCTTCCCTGCCCCTCGCCAGGTTCATCCAGCCTGGCCTTTGCTCACATCCTAGGGCCTCATGAGCTGGATAGAAACAATTTGGGCTCTTTTTTTTTTTTTTTTTAAGATGTATTTATTATACAAGAACTGGGGTATAGGCCAGCGGTGTGAGGAGTGAGAGGATTCACCTGAGACACAGTGGGGAGCAGAACAGGCAGAGCTACTGAATCCACTGCTGAGGAGAGCAGCGGGGAGACAGGGGAGGTCCCTGCACCCTGTGGTCACTCCCTGGCTGGGGATCAAACTCATGCTGCAGTGGCTGCGGACAGCTTCATAGTTGTGCGCTTTTAACCCCTGGCACCGCCAGGGAGGCCCCCAAAGTACTCAGGCTCTTGTGGCTTGAAGGGAGTCCTGGACCTAGCCAGGGCTTGTGAGTTTGATCCTCACTCCTGCCCTGGGGACTCAGCTCTTGTCTCCGGATTCAGCCTCAAGGGCTTGGGCTCGGTTGGTGCCACCATGAGCACTTTCTGGACTCTGAGAAGAGACGGGGTTTCCCTGCCCTGCTCTCCCCTTCCTAGAGACGCATGACTGTCAGCATTAGGGAATTAGTGATGTCGTTCCCAGTGCCAGGTCCCTCTTTCCCACTGGGCTGTGAGCCGTGGACAGACAGCCTGATCGGTCGCCGCCGTCCCCAGCAGCACCCAGCATGCCAGGCCATTCCAGTGCCTCTCCGGGCAGGACCCGCTAGGCGCTCACCACTATCTGGGGTGTCCCTCCCAACTGTGAGCTCCCCGAGACCAGGCGCAGAGGCTTGCCTCTGTGACCCTGCACTCTGTGTGTTGAGTGACTTAAGTGACTCCCTTGTCCTGTCTCTCGACTGCCACAGCCCACAGGAGTCTTCAGCCGCCTGGGGGCCACTCCAGAGACGGATGAGGATCTGGCTTGGGACAGTGACAATGACAGCAGCAGCTCTGTCCTGCAGTACGCTGGGGTCTTGAAGAAACTCAGCCGGGGTCCAGCCAAGGCCAGCCCCCAGCCGGCACTGACTGTCAAAGCCAAGGCCACGAGCTCGGCAGCTCCAGCCGCTGCCCCCACCCTGCGGCGCCTGGCGCTTCCCCCACGCCCTGGACTAGAGAGGAAGCCCGAGTCCCTGTCCAAAGTCAGCATCATCCAGAGACTAGGCAAGGCTGCCCTTGTGCCCGAGGCCCAGGACAGCCAGGTCACGAGCACCAAGAGTAAGTCCTCCGCCGACGTCAAGGTCACCATTAAGAGGACTCTGGTGGGGCCCCGGGGCAACAGCTCGAGCGAGAGCCTGGGTGCCCAGATGGACCACGCGGGCGCTGTGAGCGTGTTCAAAAGACTGGGCCACAGGACCTTCTAGCCCACGGGGCGGAGGGCGCAGGCCTCCAGGCTCCTGGCCGCGGCAGGGGCTTCCGTGAGGGCGTGCCCTCCCTCTGCCAGCTTCTGGACGACGCTGCTCGCCGCCCTCAGGCCTTCAGGCTGGGCCTGAGCTCCTGGGGCCCCACCCGGTTCCGCTGAGTCTGAGTTGGTCACTGTGGCCGGGCCTGGCCACCCTGGGACTCCCCTCTCGCTTCCTCTGCTGTCCTCTGCCTGGCTGGGCAGGACTCCTTGCTGCCTCTCCCAAATGCCAGGCCCCTTTCCGCTTCTACACTCCCTTCCCCCCTCTCAGCGGCACCTGCTGCCCAGGGCCTGTCTCCTCAGTCCCTGGCCCCCACAGTTGGGGTGGCCTGGAGGGGCCCCGTTATGCCCTGGCCCTGCCAGCGTCCCAAGGCCCTCCCCTCCCCACCTGAATTTCTCAGTCTCTGCCTCTCTTCACTCTGTTCATTTCTCTTCTGTTTTCTGTCCCGGTGGCAAGGCCCGACTGTCCGCTGCGTCCTGCCTGACCCTCCTGCTCCTCCAGTCTCCCAGCGGCCCCCTCGTCGGCGGTGGCGTCCAGCCTGTAAAGACTGTTAGCTGCCCTCACTCCCAGGCTGCAGGGACCTCCCCAGACCCTGGGCTGCGCCTGGGCACCTCCATTTTCCTGCCCTGGGCATCTTTTTCTCTGAAATTCGGTGGCAGGTGGTGGGCCGGGCACTGGGAAGGGAGCCCAGCGCCGAGAGAAGACCACTGTTTTAATATATTTTTGTGACTTTCAGACCGTTTCCCTGCCCTCCTTCAGGGTGAGTCACGGGGCTGCTTTTCCTGCAAAGCACAGCGTGGGTGGGGGCTCGCTGGCAGGCTGGTGTCCAGTGCCCTGCACACACGGGGCCTCGTCTTTGCTGCAGCCCCCAAGTGCAAGGCAGTCACGGTCATGGTCTCCCCGCCCGCAGGCTCCCTTTCCCCAGCAAGCTGCAGTGGGTCCGGCCTCTGCCGCCTCCCGCCCCCCAGATGTCACCTGTGACTGCCACTCTGCCTGCCAGAGTGGCTGCACCATTCCGGACGCCATGGCTTTCTGTAGACTTGATTGTTCACACACGCACACTGCCTCTGGGCAGGCTGGCCCCCCACCCTGAGCCGGCAGCCAGCCCTGCGGCCTGGCTGGGTCAAGGGGGGAGAGTACAGTGAGTGGGCAGAGCACTGTCCCAACGCGGCGCCGTGAGCGAGCGAGACGCTCCACGGAGGAGGTGACGGGAAGTGCCCTGTGAAGTTGGAAAGGAGAGAGTTGCAGGCGGAGGAAGCAGCCAAGACAGAGGCCCAAGGTGGGACGGGGCGTGGAGAGGGCTGAGTGGCAGGCTTGACTGGTGAGGAGCGAGGCTGGCCAGGAGCCTGTGGCCAGCGCGAGCAGGGTGCGGCCAGGAGCCAGGTCACCGGGCCTCTCACCCAGAGAGGAGTTGGACATAGCCCGGGACCCCAGGATTTCAGAGGCTGTGGAGCAGGTGAAATGATCGAGGGGCTTCCCGGCTGTGGCTGCTGCAGGGGAGTGGGCAGGCGGGGGAGCAGGGGCAGCGCACGGCCGGTCCACCCTGGTGGGGGTGCGGAAGGGAGGTTGGAGGAGCCGCAGGTGGGCCAGGAGGGTGGTGGCTTGGACTGCTGGCTGGGAGGTGAGCTGCTGGTGGGTGCAGGGCTCGGGGCCCGCAGGGTTCACAGCCAGCTCAGGGGACTCCTGTGTTCAGAAAGGGGCCTAGAGAGAGGACGCAGAGGGACCTGGGGCCGCTGCCCCCTGGAGGATCGACTCTGCTAAGGGGTGGCTGAGGTGGTCCGGGCTGGGTGAGCTGGGAGGGCAGCGAGCATGAGATGGGACATGGTCACGGGTCGTTTCCTCTTTATTGTAAAGCGGGCGTCACAGAATTTCCCATGCCAAGGGACCCCGGTACTGAGTGTGCACGCAGAGTGTGAAGTATATTGTGCTGTCCAGCCTCGGTCCAGGCCTGTCCTCACCTTCATTTTCGCCGCCCATTTTCAGTCAGGCAGTGTCCAGGCAGGAGGGCTGGACCCACCTCCTGGTGCGGACCCAGGCTAGACCCTCATGGGGTGGGGCCGTGATGCTCAGAAGATTCCAGGACTCCCATGCCAGTGCCACCAAGAGTTCCTCATGCCGGGGCACATTTCCAGCTGGTCTTCAGCTCCCTTTTCCCTACCCTTTAACAAACTTCTGGTTCCACCTCATGGGTGATTTTAGCAAGAGCCAGGTTCATGAGAGTCCTAGTGACTGAATTTAAGAGCCCATGGTAATTTCTAGAGGTTTAATTGGAACCACAGCAGTAGCAAAACGCAGCTGGCACACACCACCTTACCTGCGGCAGGTAAGTCTGGTCGGGGCCACTCTAGGCGAGGGCCGGACCCAACTGGCAGGTGGCTGCTCTGGGCTCGATGTCGGGATGGCTGGGATCCTCACCCCAGCACTGGTCACCCCTCACCCCTCCATTGTTGTCTCAATTGCAGATTTGAAATGGCCCATTTGGAAAGTGGGTGGGTATCTTAGGATGGTTACTTTGGGATTCTAGCATTCTCTGTGTGTCCTGTTCCCCCTGCCTTGGTCAGCACGACCCAGCAAGTGTTTGTGCCCTGGGCCTGAGAGTCGCCTCCTGCCCCCCACACCCCTCGCCACCGTCTACAGGGACCAGCGCCACTGTGGAAGCCCAAGATGTCCCCCACCCATTAGGGGTTTCCCCAAACAGTGACCCACATGGGGCGGATTTCCGCCCCCCGCTCTGGTTTTCAGCGTGTTTGAGCTTATATAGTGATACAGAGTTCAGCATGCACACAACAGAAAGGGTTTAGCAGTGAAGTTTCCCCCGGCCCCCAAACCCCCTGCCAGTGTCGCTGGGGCCTGCGGTAACCTCCGTGGCGTGTTCACGTGCGTGCATAGTGCTCACTCGTCCACGCGAGCAGAGGGACAGCGCCCGCAGGCACCTTAGCTGCCCGGTGAATGCAAACAGCACACACTCACGGCGTGACTGACAGAATCCGGTTATGTGGATGGGAGCGGCTGCTTTCAGCCTCCTGCTGTTACGGGCAGGTGGTGCAGCCGTGGGTGACCTGGCATATGCGGGCGGGCGGGCGGTCCAGGACTGAATTTGAACTCCAGGGTTACCACTTCAGATGATACCGGGCAAACAGCAAGCCTGAACTCAGCTCTTCCCAGGATCGTTGACCTTCGGACGGTTTATTTCCACGTGTATCACCCCGTTTCCAAAAGGGTAAAGACATGGAACTTTTCTCATTGGTGGCGGCTGAGGGAGTGGGTCAGGGCTGCCGACCGCGCCTGTGTGCAGAAGTACTAACGAAGCGCCCTGCTAAGTGGACAGGCTTGGGGCGAGGGCGACGCTGGGAAAGGCAGGACTTCATTCTCACGCCACAGCGTGGAGACGGAAGTGCAGCGAGCCGGGCTGTGCCAAGTCACAGCCCCAGCCCAGCCCGCCCAGGCGGGGATGGCGATCTAGAGACCCGTCCCCTGTGCGCGCCTCGGCTCAGGCCAACCCCGCCGCCGCCCTTGCCTTGGGCGCCTGAGCCCTGGGACCTTGACCTTTGCTTTGGGGGCCTGACCTGGCTCCCTCAGGCCTGTGTCTGAAGGCCTGACCTCTACCCCACCTGCTCTGAGGACGCAAAGCCTTCCTAAACCTCACCAAACAGGAAATGCTGCCTCCTTGCTTTTAGTGACACACAGAACACTTTGCATCTGCTTTAGATTTGCTGGTGCCCGTGGGAGCAGCTTGTGCCTGTGCCATCACTTTGCCCTGTTCCTAGCAGCTGACATTAGCCCGCTGCAAGGTAACAGGCCGGGCTTGCTAGGCTAGTGTCACGCCTGCACAGCCGTCCACGTTCCTTTTTCACGTTTTTTTCGCATTTGGGGTACTTTGTGGCACGTATGGCTTCACACCATGTTGACAAACGGCTGTCTCCCTCGGCTCCTCCTGGCTAGGCTCCTCCTGGCTGTAGCGGTAGCTCGGACTTGCCTGGTGACCTTGACAGTGTAGAGCACGCTGATCAGGCAGGGGATTTGTCTGATGTTTTTCTCACGGTTAGATCGAGGCTAATGCGCGTGTCAGAGAAAGTCTGCAGGAGTCTGTGCCATCTGGTCGCAAATGTGTGCTGGGACCATGACACCGTGGTTTAGAGACCTTGACCCCTGACCCCTGACTTGACCTCAACCACCTGCTATACGTATGGTGTCTCCATGTTGGATTCTTCAAAGCGAAGCACTCACACCCAAGCTGTGTGTGTGTGTGTTTGTGTGTGTGCCACCTCCCAACGGCCAGGTGATGACATAACTTACTTAGAATTCTTCTCTAAGGGAGCTTTGTCTCTTCTCCCTTCTTACTAACGTATTCAATCGTTTATTTTTGTCACCACAGCCTCATGGATGTCTGCTTTACCCTTTTGTAACCTGAGGCTACTTGATCCATTTTGTTGCTCATGTTACTCTAGCTTCTTCCACTGGGCATCCGCGTCATAGCCTCTGTCAGTACCTCATTTATTTTTATTGGTGAATAACATGGGAGAGTGAGGATGGGTCACATGTGGTTGGTGCACTCGCTGGACATTTGGCTTGTTCTGGCGTCTGGCTCTAAGGAAAACTGTGGCCATGGACGTTCGAATGTAAGTTTGCGTGAAAAAGCGACTTTGAGTTCTCTTGAGCTTCACACTTCGGCGTTGAAAGTCAGGTCATTTTAGTCACTTGAGAACGTGGTGGGCTGTTTTCCAAGGTGGAATCACCATCTCATATTCCACTAGCAGGTGTGAGGGTGCCGAGGTCTCCACGTCCTTCCTAACACATTCTGACTTTTCCATCATTGCTTTCCTAGTGGTGTGAAGTGCTATTTTTTTTTTCCTAAAGATTCATTTATTTATACATACAACAATTGAGTACAGGCCACAGGTGCAAGGAGGGGGAGTTGAGAGGGAGCAGATCAGGCAGATCTACTGAAACACACTGCTGAGGGAGCAGTGGGAGACAGGAGAGGGCTGCTGTGCCCTCTCCCTGGCCGGGGATCAAACTCGTGCTGCAGTGGCTGTGGATGGCTTTGTAATGCTGTGCTTTAACCCATTGTGACATCAGGGAGGGCAGTGCTTTTTTGCCTTATCTCTGAAATTGGTGATTTTCAACAGCACCACTAAAGGACCATTACTGACACTCTTATTAGCTATAGAAAGGGCTTTGGAATAACTATTTAATACCATCGTAATTTTTTAAAGATTTATTTATTTATGCATATAGAACTGGGGTACAGGCCAGAGGTATGGTGGGTGGGAGGATTCACCAGAGACAGCGTGGGGAGCAGGACAGGTATACTGACAAAGTACACTGCTGAGGGGAGCAGTGGGCAGGTCAGTGCCATGCCATGTGGGTCAGCTCCCTGGCTGGGGATTGAACTCGTGCTGCAGTGGCTGTGGAGGGCTTCATAATGCTGTGCTTTAATCCGATGCACTACCAGGGAGGGCAACTATAATTGTAACTTTATAGAAAATTAGCAAGAACAGTACAAGGGATTGCTGTGTCTGCTTTGTCTAGATTTGACAATTGTTCATTCCATTTGTCTTCCTGTCCCCTCCCCCACCCCAGTATGTATACACATACCTACCTACCTGCATACTGTGGTTTTGAGAATTGAGTTGGAGAACATCTTGCCTCGTTGCTTTGGGATACTTCCATAAGAACATGAACATTCTCTTTTCAGAAGCATAGGACAGCAATCAAAATCCAAGAAATCCGAGCTGGACACAGTATGCTTGTCCAATTCACAGTTCACATTCCAGCGTCATCAGTTGTCTGACAGCTGCCTCTTTCCCCCTGGCTCAGAATCCAGTTCCGGATCACATGTAGCATTTAGGTGTTCCGTAAAAGCTTCCTGTTAAACAGTGATTGTTTAAATAACGGCTTGAAGAAAGTTCGCTCACTTGCTCCAAGTCTTAGCTGGCTGCCAGTCAGCAGGGGCCCAGCAGGGAAGAGCGGCTTGTGTGGCGCCACCTTGCGGCAACAGAGCAGATCGGTTGTAAATTACACCCTTGGCAGAGGTGAAATAACTTTCTTAAGCACCAGAAAAAAAGGAGGCGATATTCAGGTCACCAGTTTTTCTTAATATGTGGGAAACTATGTCGTAAGTATTTTTTCTGATGCACATGCTTGGCATAAAACAAGACGTTGCTGTATCTCAAATCTGAACCACACAGGTGAAGTCCAGTGTTTTGGGTGAAAACAAGGCTGAGCCTGAGACATCTTTGGGAATAGTTGACGTCTCAGTATTACAGCTGTATGATGTCCGTGAGAGACTTGCCCTGACTTTTGCAAAATAGGCCTTACACAGACTCGGCCTGTAGGAAGGCAGAATGAGTCGTGGCTATACTGTAGTTCCCAGGACTGTCACGGATGTGCAGGACGTCTTCACTGAAGACAAACAGAGGATTAGTATTTGTTCAGCTTGTTGTGAGTAGACAAGTTCTGACCTTAAGGAAAATCCAGCCCAGTATGGAGCTTTCAGCTTCCTAATCAAAACCATATTCAGTCAACACATACTTACTGATCCCCAAGTCCCAGCTATGTGCCAGCATTGTCTGGGAACTGGGAAGACAAGGTCTTTTCCCTCATGGGCAAATTTATATGCTGCTTTGGAGGAAGACAATTACAAAATAAAAATATCCTTTAGTGTTAAGAGTTCAGTAGGGAATTCTAATAAGGTAATGAAATAAACACATCATGGTTCTTCTGGATTTGGGGACACTGGGAAAGACTCCCTAAAAAGATGAAATTTGAAGTGGGTTCTCTAAAACACAAGAAAGCCTCTCTGGTGGTGCAGGGGTTAAGTCTCAGCACTATGAAGCTATTCCAGTCACTGCGGCATGAGTTCAATCCCTGGCCAGGGAGGTGACCCACATGGCACGGCAGACTGTCTCCCACTGCTCCCCTCTGCACTGTATTTCAGTGGATCCACCTACTGTTCTGCTCCCTACTCTGTCTCTGGTGAATCTTCACACCTCTGGCCTACACCCCAGCTCTTGTTTGCATAAATAAATTTTAACAACCAAAAAAAGACAAAGTGCCAGTCATGAAAAGATGAAGACTGTATGGGGGGAGGGGACAGGTGAACCATCCAGGCAAAAGGGTCGGACACTGGGAGTGGGAGCAAGCTTGACTCGTGGAGGAGTGGAGAAGAGAGAGAGAACGTGGCGGTCAGGGGCAAGACAAGGTCAAGGTGAAGTCAGAAGAGTAGGCAGGGGCAGCTCACATAGGCCCTGGAGGCTTCGGGAGGCCTTTTGACAGGCTGTGGGAAGCCATCTGCTTTTGGAGGTTGATAAAGCGGTTGATCTTGAGAGTAGAAAACGCTCCCTTCAAGGCCACCACAGAAGTGTGTCAGCCTGGAACCATCAGTTTCAACTTACTGGGCCTTTCCAACATGTTGACAAGTTGAATGTGCATGGTTCTTCTGCTACGACTTTTGAAACATTTTGTAAAAAGGAAATTGGAACCAACACTCACAGAATCCCTGAGGTTTAGCTGTGCTTCTGCCAAACACTTCAGATTACCCTCAAAGGATCTTCCCAACACAGTAGCATCTAGGGTGGGGCTTAGTTACTGCCGGCTGGGGATCCTAAAATATTATTTCAAGATTTCTGTATAACATGGGAAACTTTTAAATAAAAGCTTTTTTGGTGATGGTTCCAGACTTCTTTGAGAATCTGCTCCATGCTGTAGACCTTCTCCCCTGAACATGGTCAGGATAAAGAAAGGGGGGACAGGTCTGATTCCTCCTGAGTGTATCTCCTGCTTGCCCATGTGTGGCAGGGATTTTCCCCATGGTCATGGCCAGCACTGCCAGGGACACACCTGCCTGCTTGGGACTACTTAAAGTTCTTTTTTTTTTTTTTTTTCTAAAGATTTTATTTGTGCATACAGAACTGGGACACAGGCCAGAGATGTGGAGGGTGAGAGAATTCACCAGAGACAGAGTGGAGTGCAGAACAGGCAGATCAACGAAATACACTGCTGAGGGGAGCAGCGGGCGGGTCAGGAGAGGTCTGCCACGCCATGTGGTCACCTCCGGGACAGGCACCATCAGGAGCCCAATCTCTGTAAGAAGGTTGAACTGGACTCCCTGGGGACAGAAGAGGGCTTTGAGGAGACACCCTCTGTGTTCCTCAGAGCAAGCTTCTTAATCTTTTTTCCCATAATCATATTATGGGCATATTTCACACAAGACGCTGTTGGCCTTTCTCCCTAGAAAAGTGAACAGGGGGCCCATATTTATAGTTATGGGCAGGAGTTCACACACTAAGGGTAGAGACTATCTTGGGTTTTAGGGGATTTTCTTCTTACTCCCCCTTGACGTCAAAATTAAGAGACTAAGGCCCCCAAATGACAAGTGAGTGGTTTTGCTGAAGCCACACAGGGGCAGAAGTAGAGGCAGTACTTTCTATTTCCCAGCAAGAACTGAATTCAAAGTCCAGGCTCAGGACAGTTGGTGTTCCAGTGTTCCAACCTTGCCTGCACCCCAAGTTGTCCCAGGGCCTGACTAAGCCCCTAAATCTACTGTAGCATCTAAACTCTGAGACTGCACAACAATAACATACCAGTGGTGGGACTGTGTTGAGCAGAACCTGCTCAGAGGTTTTAACAATTTAACAATTGCTAAATAAGTTCTATTGCTACTGTTTCACAATCAGGAAAGACAGGCTTGCAGGAGTGAAGTTATTTTGACAAGATCATAGGACAGACACGATTAGAACCAGGGTCTGTTCATCTCCAAAGCCATGCACAAGGTTCCTCCCTAGATCAGTGGTTTTCAAGCTGCAAGGCATAGGGGCAGGAAGCAGTGCAGCGGGATCTCAAGCAGCATTGGCAAAGTGAAATCTCAGAATGCCTCGTACATAAGGTAAGAAGGGCTCAGTGACACTTGGGGCCTCTCACCACAGGTACATATGTGTATACTAGGTCTTTATAATAGTTTGGAAGCCATGCCTTTGACTAGTAGTTCACTGAGGAGTTTATGCCATGCACATGCGCAGTGAGAGAATCCAGCAGGTGTTCTAGGAGTTAGCTAAGGATAACTTTGTGGGGTGAGGCAGAGAGGGGTGGCCTGTGAGCGGTTCAGCACAGAGAGGAGCCAAGAAGGTAGGCACGTGAACCTATGGGCGAGTCCAGATGGGTGCAGAAGGGCTAATTCTTGAAACATATTCCCCAAAAGCCCGCTCTGCTGGGCATGGTGTTGGGTCCATAGGAATGAGCATGTCAGTCTTCCCTGTGGGGCTCCATGCAGTAGGTCACCAACCTATAGCTAGACAGTAAGAGACTGAAATGGTCAGGGCCGTGGTGGGGGACAGGATTTAGGTGGACCCAGGATTCCTCAACTCCCAGTAAAGCCTTCTAGAAAAGTCTGCACTAACCATAGTGCTCTTGCCAAGTCGTGTGGCATGCTGGAACCCACATTCAGAAGCTAGCCAACCCCACCCAACCTAGAAGAGACTGGAACCAGATGTCTCCCAGCTGTAGGAGTACATTAGCTAATACGTGGTTCAGGATCTGTGCAAAACATTCTTTTGCAGGACAACTGTAAGCACAAAATTAAAAAAGTTATACCCCCATATTGAATCAAACATAGGAAAAGATTAGGGTTAATACTTTGAAGTCACAAACTAACTGATAAAAACTATTTACATAAATTCGCCCAGTAGCCCCTGAGGCAGCTACGATGGTTTTCCACGTTGCCGCTCTGGACACTGAGGCAAGCCTTCTGCCGGCCGGCACCAGCAAGGAAAGGCAAACTCGGGTTTGTGTGATTCAGAGCCTAAGCTCACCCGTGAGGCCTGCAGTAAGCGGGCAACCCCTTCTAGCCCTGCTCCAGAGCTTTTTCAGAGCCTCCGAACCCGCAGCAAATAGCGCTCAGTAAACGAGATCAAAGCATAGGTAAATAAGGCCCAGGGGCTGCTGGGAAAACAACACTGAGGCCAGCCTCTAGGGAAAGCCGGCGTCACGGCCCTACTGCGCCGGCGCGACTCTGTGCTTTCCGCCCGGCATCTGCGCAATGCACCTTTCCTGGCCACCTAGGCCCAAACGTGCCGCCTGTACGCAGGCGCTCTGCCCTGTGTCGCCCCGCTCCCTCGGTTTGCGCCTGCGCCCTAGTGCTCTCCCAGACCATCGTTCAGCCCTTGTACGTCAGTTCCTGTTTGTGGCGGGAGAAGGCGGTATTTCCGGCCAGAGGGTGGGAGGGGGCGGTGAGCGGGG